AGCTATGCATTTTGTTCTTTCTCAGCACTCTCAGCCTACTCCATAGTCTACTCCTCAGATTTGGCTTACTAATTCGGGAGCAACAAATCCTGCAGATTTGACTAATCTTGCTCTAACATCTCCATATCCCTCTAATGAAGTCATTCAAACAGCTAATGGTGAAGGTTTGCGTGTATCTCATGTTGGCAATACTTAAGCTAAATTATGTTCAACCTATTAAACTAAACTCTATGTTATATGTTCCTTAGTTAACTCAGAATTTGTTGTCAGTGCACAAAATTTGCCTTGACAATAATTGTTGGCTCATTTTTTATGCATTTGCTTTCTGGATTCAGGACAAGCCCACATGGATGATACTATTCAAAGGGTTGTGCAGTAATGGACTCTACCCAATTTCATCTCTTGCCACTTCCAATCTTGGGGTTTTTAAACCAATTCACCAAGCTAAAGCACTTCTTGGGCAGCTGGTTAATTCTTCAATTTGGCACCAAAGATTAGGTCACTGTTCTAATCCCATTGTTACCTTAATGTTGAATAAAGCCAACTTATCATGTACTAAGGATTCTTCACCTATTATGTGTCAAAGTTGTTTAGAAGGAAAGTTTTGTAAAATACCTTTTCCAGTCAATGTTAATAAGTTTGTAAAACCTTTTGAGGTGGTGCGTAGTGATCTTTGGGGTCCTGCACCTTGTTTGTCAGTTGATGGCTTCAAATACTATGTTACATTTGTAAATGAATGTACCAGATTTTGTTGGTTGTTTCCTCTTGTGAATAAATCTGATCTTTGTGCCATTTACATTACCTTTTATTCTTTTGTCCTCAATCAGTTTTCAAAAACCATTAAAGTTCTACAAAGTGATTTTTTTTTGGGGGGGGGGGGGGGGTGTGGTATGTATTTCTCACAAACTTCAAACATTTCTTTTAAACAAGGGGATCTCACATCATAAATCTTGTCCTTACACCCTTGAGCATAATGGTTTAGCTGAGAGGAAACATAGGCACATTATTGAAACTACAATTACTTAACTTCAAACAGCAAGACTACCTTCTCAGTTTTGGTCTTTTGCATGTCAAACAACCATATATCTTATTAATAGAATGTCATCACCTGTTTTATCCAATAACTCACCATTTCAGAGTTTATTCAGTATTGATCCTGTTCTCTCATCTTAAAATATTTGGTTGTACCATCACCTGTTTTATCCAATAACTCACCATTTCAGAGTTTATTTGGTATTGATCATGTTCTATCATCTTAAAATATTTGGTTGTACCTGTTACCCTATCCTTAAGCCATATAATACCACAAAGTTACTTGCTAAAACCATTAAATGTGGTTTTTTGGGATATGCCTCAAAATATAAAGGGTATATTTGTTATGATGTACCTCACAAGAAAGTGTATATTTCTAGGCATGTGGTTTTCTTTGAACAAGAATTTCCATATACAGACTTATTAACTCTTCCAAAATCAAAAATCTCATCTCCACTTACACATCTTGAACCTGTATCATGTCATGTTCCTTTTGTGACTCCTAATAATATAATAGTGCCATCTTCATTATCAAGTCCAAATTTAGCAGGTCATGTGCTTACAGAGATTTCATCACCTTCGCCAGCCTCATCTCATTCCCCTAGTTCCCCTACAACATCTACTAATGTTCAGTTCCATTCTTAACCCCAACTTACACCTTCTCCAGCCACTTCCACCAATGATTCCTCTCGGTCCATTACTGATGCAGTACATGTATTTTCTCAGCCTCCTATGGTGCTTGATCATTATCCTAAGGTTCTTCCAATGGTGTTAGATATTCCACCACTCAATCTCCATCCTATGCAAACCAGGAGTAAGAGTGGCATTATTAAGAAGAAAACTCTTTTGTCTGCATTATCTGCATCTTCTTTAGTTAATTTATCAGTCATGGAACCAGCTACATATAAGTCTACTCTTAAGTGTCCCCTTTGGTTCAATGCTATAAAGGAAGAAATTGCAGCATTACATACACAAGATACTTGGAGTTTGGTGGATCTACCTGTAAACAAGAACTTGGTGGGTTGTAAATGGGTGTTCAAGATAAAAAGACATGCTAATGGTTCTGTTGCAAGGCATAAAGCCAGATTGGTGGCCAAGGGCTTTAGTCAAGAACCTGGAGTTGATTATATTGAGACATTTAGTTCGGTAGTTAAGCCTACAATAGTAAGAATGCTTTTGGCATTAGCTGCTTATTTTGATTGGCCTTTAAGGCAACTGGATGTGAAAAATGCATTTTTACATGGCATTTTGTAGGAAGAAATTTATATGGCTCAGCCACCTGGCATTAAGGATCTATTACATCCTCATTTGGTCTATAGGCTTCACAAATCACTTATGGTTTGAAACAAGCCCCAAGGGCTTAGAATGAGAAGTTCACTGCATTTCTTCCAAAATTGGGGTTCCATAATACATATTTAGATTCATCTCTCTTTGTGAAAGTTATTGGTTTTGATATTGTAGTTCTGTTACTTTATGTCGATGACATAATAGTAACTGGCAGTGCTTCCACAGTTATCTCACAAGTGATTTCAGCATTGACTATTGAGTTTGATATCAAGGATTTAGGTTCTTTGCATTATTTCCTGGGAATACAAATTACCAAGATTGCCAATGGTTTATTTCTTTCCCAACATAAGTATGTTCAAGACTTATTAAACAAAACTAAGATGCTTGATTCTAAGGCTTGTGATACTTCCTATCTTCCTTACAATAGGTTGCTTAAGGATGATGGTGATCCTTACAATAATCCAATGTTATATAGAAGTCTTGTAGATGGTTTACGCTGATTGGGCCGGTGACTCTAATGACCGAAGGTCAACCACTAGTTTAGTGGTATTTGTGGGTAATAATCCTATTTCTTGGTTTTCCAAGAAACAACAAACAGTTTCTCAATCTTCTACTGAAGCTGAGTATCGGGCACTATCATCCACTGCTGCTGAGCTAGATTAGATTAAACAACTTCTGGTTTTTCTGCATTTCCATTACTATTTCCTCTTGTTTTGTTTTGTGATAATCTTTCTGTTATAGTGTTGTCATTCAATCCTATTCAACATCAAAAAACAAAACATATTGAGATCGATGTACACTGTGTCAGGGAGAGAGTTGCCAAGCATCAGCTTTATGTGCAGTTTGTTTCATCTCAGAAGCAGTTTGTAGACATTCTGACAAAAGGATTAAGTTCCACTTTGTTTCGTATACATTGTAACAATCTCATGCTAAGATTCTCTAAGTATGAGATTGAGGGAAGATGTTAGAGATATTAAGTAAATAGGTTAGATGATGACAAATGTCAAAGGATTAAGAGTAGTTGTTAGTTTTGTAGTCTATTGTGTTTGTTGTATAAATACTCAAGTACAGTTGCTTACACATTAAGAAAATAAGAAGAAATACATTTTGATACAGTTTTACTTTTCTCTCTTCTTTCGCTGTCAAAGCTCTTGAATTCTTCTCTATTAGGAATGCTATAGAACTTCATCTACAAGGTTAACAAATGCAACTAGAAGTGCTTTTTAGCCATTCCAATATCATTCCGCAAACAGGCCCATATGTACATTCATAAAAAATAGGAAAACTTTGTAGTGAGTAGATCAATACTGAAAAGAGTAATAGGGAGACTACATATTTATATCATATTGAAGTATCATACTATATGACAAGTGATTCATACAACCAACATGAGATAAACTTATTAGTTGACACGACACATATACATCACTTGACACATCAGATGATATACCAAATATACAAACATATAGTCTTTCTAGCACTTTCTTACCAAAAAGGGTAATTTCTTGCTGGCCACATGATACTTGTGAACTGTTGAGCTCCTTCGAAGGATGTTGGAGCTCCTTCATAGTGAGGAGAGTGGATGTTGGCCAAAATAGTCGTAAGACCATCTCTAAAAGTGATGTCAATTTTGAACATAAAATTTAATTTTACAGCATATATGGTCTTCTGCATTTTAGTTTTCTAACGGACGATCAGAAAGACCCTTTATCGTAGAACAAATGGAGTTGTGAATTTTCAAAGTAACTTTATTGTAAATAGTTCAAGTGTGTGAGAAAGTTGCGCGTAAATCTAACTTCTTAATTAAATGATTGTGCACCAAGTATGACGCTTTTTCAGTTAAGTTCTTTTATGTGGCTCGAGCGAACGAAGACTTAAAATTTAGTGTGGCTTTGTATATGCTTGCCCAAAGAGTAAAAGAAATCGAAATAGGAACTAAAATGAGAAACATAATTAATGTAATCATTTCATGATGGAGTCAAAATTATAAACATTTACAAAAATAAAATCTAGGCCGATTAGTTGATCTACATAACTTGAAACGCAAATTGACCGAAAATGTAAAGAAAGCAATAAACTCTAGCAACATTCAGGCCATGAAATGTGAGATAATGTTAGAGAAGTCCATCATGATCACTGGTGTCAGATTGGACTTAGTACAAAACATGCGCCTTAGAGAGGAAATTAGTTAGAGTGGTTGGAATTGCACATCAATTGAATCATACTACAGGATGGCAAAACTCTAAAGGTTTTAGATCTCAGGCATCGTAGGTAGGTTTGTTTCAAAGGAAAGCTTTGAGATTGTAGCTGAAGAGCTAAGAGAGTTTTGCATAAGAACAATTGAGTTTGTGATGAAAACTGTTGGGTTTGTTGGAGAATCACTCGAGGTTTTGTTTAATCGCAAAGATTGAATTTGACAAAGATCCTGAGCTTGAAGGCTTTTGGCTCCATTTATAGGTCATGTGCTTGAGTTTTCATAACAATTACCAGGAAATCTCAGATCTGTCCACAGTAAATCTTGGTTTCCTTACTTGGACAGTTTGATCCACGATTATATATGTTATGTATCGTTCAATACTGTTGAGTGTTGAAGACACCTTGGATGAGGGGAGTTGGAGATGGGAGGGTTAGATGCCATAAAGTGGATGAGACGTGAAGAAAAAAATTGAGAGACCAACGCATCGGAAAAAACAACACCACAACTTTTTTTATTCAGTAAAAGCTAAAAAGAAATCACACATTACATTCAATAGAGAAGCTGCAGAAGAAGCCATCGGTATCTATATTTACACAAGAATCTAAAAACAGATCTCAAATACCACAGTAGGCTTTGATAGCATGCTTAGCTTTCTGTCCCGCCTCAGTTAGAAAGAAACGAAGGAAATCAAAGTGATCAAATGGCTTATATCGTAAGGGGTGTTTGTTATCAACTAGCTCTTCAGGTACTTGCACAATATCATTTTTATATGAGAATAATGACACCGAATATCTTATTTTCTTCTGTTCCAGGATGACTTGATGCTCACATGCGCATACCCTGTCGTTACTCCATGCCTACCAAATGAAAGTAGAAAAAAATGTGAGATAAAACAGTTAGTCAAGGCAATGTGCGTTTGCGCCTTGTACCCAAATCCTGTAAAATTACAATAGTTTGTAATAGTATAAGCTAGAATAATATATTATGCGAAAGTGGCTCTCACCATGAGTACATCGGATGCAATTACTATAAAAGATGAAGGTGAAGAAGGTGCATAATCAATCCATTGGCCAGCCTTTGTTTTGATCCGCAGACCATTGACCTCATTTTGATGCACGATGGTTGTGAAACACTTGTCTGTGTGAGGAAACAGTCTCACATCATTCTTATTCGTCCGCTGTATAGTCTGTGTTTGATATTCAATGCATCTAAGCTGGTAAGTGGCGGATGCCTTGTGAGAGTCATAAAGCCTCCCCACCCTATAAATATCAAACACCATTCTTGTCACCATTTGATCCAATTCTACCAACATCTTTGAGTAGGATTGAACAGTATAACTAGTTACAAGAACAAAGAGTTCCGCAATGTTAGGCACGATATCAATGTTGAAATTAATTTCTTTACCAGTTTCAAATAACACATGCTTATGTCGGCATACTACATATCAATATCATTTATCAAAGTGAAATCTTGTCTAAATGTGTGGTCTATATTCAATATCCCAACATATGTACTTATTTTAAGATCCAAGTAGTTTTTGAAAGCCAAAAAATAGTTAGAAGTGCTTCTTGACAAAATAGTTGGAAGTGATTTTTAAAGAAACGTCAAGCATAAAAGCAATTTAAAATTTTTTTTTTTACCAAACATAGTAAAAAAAACGCTTTTAATCATAAAAAATTAAAATTAAAAAAAATAATTAAAAAAAAACACTTTTAACCCTTCCGCGAAAACTTCTCCAAACAATCCCTTGTACATGCAGTAAAAGAAAAAGAAAATTTAGGAGTGAGAAACAAAATACCGAAAACGTTCATTTCCTGCGGGCCACATGATACTAGTGAACTTTTGAGCTCCTTCTACAGTTTCTGGACTCTCAATCCCCGTGGAAAAATCGTGAGGAAAGATCGGACTTGGGGGAAAATAGCTGTGGAGAGGCTTATCACTGGTCTCCTGCGTTTTAGTTTCGAATGGAAGATCACAAAGATCTTTCATTGCAGAGAAAATGGAGTTGCGAGTTTCCAAAGTATCTTTTTTGTAAACCGCTTCAAAGCAGCTGTACTCTTCTAGTGCATGCTGTACTTGTCTGCATGCCAACAGCCATGCATCCGTTCCAGGCTTCAAGTTTTCATTGGATAAGTCTACAACAGGAACCACAAGAGGCTGACTTTCTGACCCCATATTTCTCTCTTGAACTATCGTGGTTATTAATTAAGCTAGTCTTCAGGAATTGCTTCACTGATAGATCGTAGCAATGAGATTAACATGGGATCATTTTGGACAAATTTATAGCCATAGAATGATAAATTTAGGTGGGGGGAAGACTTTGCATGCTGTTCTTAACTATCACTATTATTTAACTAAAATCATGTTAATTTTCAATTTTTGATCGAAATTATTAATGTAATGCGCGCTCGCGCGCGCGCACACACACACACAATATATTTGAGAGTATAATTTATCCTTTAATATTTTTAATCCCCAAATTATGGAATTCTCATTAATAAACAACTATAAATTTCGCCATAGAATGATAAGTTTAGGTGGGGGGAAGACTTTGCATGTTGTCCTTAACTATCACTATCATTTAACTAAAATCATGTTAATTTTCAATTTTTATCGAAATTATTAATGTAATACACACACACACACACACACACAATATATTTGAGAGTATAATTTATCCTTTAATGTCACATCCCGGCCCGGGTGGGACCACTTCCCGGGCCCGCTCCACCACCGTAGCACGATATTGTCCGCTTTGGGCTTACCATTCCCTCACGGTTTTGTTTTTGGGAACTCACGAGCAACTTCCCAGAGGGTCACCCATCCTGGGAGTGCTCTAGCCCTCTTCTCGCTTAACTTCGGAGTTCCTACAGAACCCGAAGCCAGTGAGCTCCCAAAAGGCCTCGTGCTAGGTAGGGATGGGAATATACATATAAGGATCACTCCCCTGGGTGATGTGGGATGTCACAATCCACCCCCCTTAGGGGCCCGACGTCCTCGTCGGCACACCACGACCAGAGTTAGGCTCTGATACCAAATTGTCACATCCCGGCCCGGGTGGGACCACTTCCCGGGCCCGCTCCACCACCGTAGCACGATATTGTCCGCTTTGGGCTTACCATTCCCTCACGGTTTTGTTTTTGGGAACTCACGAGCAACTTCCCAGTGGGTCACCCATCATGGGATTGCTCTAGCCCCCATCTCGCTTAACTTCGGAGTTCCTACGGAACCCGAAGCCAGTGAGCTCCCAAAAGGCCTCATGCTAGGTAGGATGGGAATATACATTTAAGGATCAGTCCCCTGGGCGATGTGGGATGTCCTCGTCGGCACATTTCCGGCCAGGGATAGGCTCTGATACCAATGTCACATCCCGGCCTGAGGCGGACCACTTCCCGGGCCCGCTCCACCACCGTAGCACGATATTGTCCGCTTTGGGCTTACCATTCCCTCACGGTTTTGTTTTTGGGAACTCACGAGCAACTTCCCAGAGGGTCACCCATCATGGGAGTGCTCTAGCCCTCTTCTCGCTTAACTTCGGAGTTCCTACGGAACCCGAAGCCAGTGAGCTCCCAAAAGGCCTCGTGCTAGGTAGGGATGAGAATATACATATAAGGATCACTCCTGGGCGATGTGGGATGTCACAAATATATCAAATGTAACGTCTTTAACACTAAATGAATAATTTAGAAATAAAATTTAATTATCTTGATATGTAAAATATTTTATTATTAAAATAATTAATGATGTTTATTACAACCATGGGATCTTGATTAAAATTTAAAAATGAATAAGACTTCAATCAATGAAGCTGAAAAAAGAGAGATGAGAATCTACTTTCTCCTAAAAATTTCCTGGACTTTTATTCTCTCAAGCTAGCTACGAGAGAGAGGGAAGCCAATTCCATGGCGTCTGGAGGGGAATAAAACAAACAGTAAGCTGCATACGATACCGGTTCCGACATGGAACGCCACCAAAAGCTGCCTGGCCTCCTCCGATGGCTTGGGGTAGAAGCAATTGACGACATTTTTATCAAACATTGCCACCGCAGCAAATACAAGTATGGACATGAAGGCATGGAAAAAATCTATGAACTTTAGCCTATATTTAGCTGCCTCCTCCGGCGCAATTGTGATTTTGGACCCGTCGAGCATCCACAACCCCTTAAATGTTGCCAACCCGTATCGCACCTTGCCTCGTTCGTCCCTCAAGCTATCGGTCAAGCACAAAAGGAAGCAGGTAAGGCTGCAGAACGTTAGGAGGAGCAGAGTCATGGTTTGGTTGAGGATGGCCGAGCACTTCCCTTGGCGTGTGAAAGCGGGGGAGAACATTTGGAACACGAGGACGGTCCCCGTGGGGAGAAGATTAGACAAATGGGCTGTGGCTTTGAAGGTCTTTCTAATGGCCTTTTGTGCTGGGGTTTTCGGTTGTTTTGGCTTTGGGGCAGTTGAACTTGATCCTTCTCCTCCTCCCCCTGCATTATTATCCAAAAGTGGTTGCTGTGCTTCCTCGACCGCAGCCATGTCAATCCGATGACTGTTGAAGCCTTTTACCCTTGAAGCCTTGGACTCTTTCCCCTCCTCGAAAGTGCTAGGTCAGCCTTCCTCCTGCACAAAGAGATCGAACCACACAAGAACAAGAGAACGAACCAACGAAGAACGATGAGATAAACACTGGTTAATAATAAAAGGAATTATAAATGGTTAAAGAAACTGAATATTAAGATTAACAAAATTAGGATTTGTTTTTCTGTTTGGTTTTGGTAAGTGAATGGAAAAAACTAGTGATGAACTGCTTTCATAACTGACCAGGCCTTCCAGAAACTCTTGTAAAAATTAACGTTTGTTTTGGAGGGGACCAATATGAAACGTTGGAATTATTTGAAAGGAAAACTAACAAAAAAAAATGCTTGAAAGTTTAAGTTTTAACAAAAAATCATATTATAAGTTTATTTAATAGATGTTTAATAAAACACTTCCGGTACTGTTTACTTTTAATGAAAAATCACATTTATACATTTCTCTGTTACTATTCACTATACATTTTTAAGAATTTTTTTATTAAATTTTTTTTTTTTAACTTTTCATTAGTACCCTTTTATGGTGGGCACAAATCCAACATTAAATCGCCCAATGAGATTGGCCCAAGCAATTAGTTTTGAATTTTACCCTTGACTTCTAGTCTTTGCCTGTATAATCTTCTCTCCCTTTCTCGATCTCTTCGTCTAATCTCTACTATTGTTTTTATTCTCCATTCGATTCCAATTTCACCATTTTGCAATTGAATTGATCGAATCTCTGTCTCTCTACCCAATCTCCGTTTTCGTACCCTGCGACATTTTGAGCCCTGAGGTGCCCAAGCAAATATATGAAGCAGCTCCTCCATTGTCGAAGAGAAGTGAGCAGATGGACGAGGAAGGGCGGCCACCCTTTTACTCGTCGGAAATTGACAGTGAGAGTGAGGATTCCGCCCCTCTGATCTTTCGACCCTACCGAAATCTAGGTTTGCTTTTGGTTTGCAGCGCTGTGCTGATGCTTCTGCGTTTAATTTTTTTTTTTTTTTTTTAAATATTCAAGCCCTTGTAATGTTTCTAGCATGAATTGTGGTCATCTATAGAAGGTTTGATGCTGCGCTTCGGCAATATGCTGCCCATCAGCAGCCGAAAGTTGAAACTTAGATGGAGGAAGCTAGAGAGAGAAAGAGAAGGACCAAGATAGAAAAGGATGATGGATGTAAAAGAACACCTGGGTTCTAGAGAGTAGTTTTATTATTTTAAAAATGTAGATTCAATAAAATATTGTAGTCTAATAAAGTGATTGATTTGATTTACAATAAATAAATAAATAATTTAGAAGGAAAAAAACCTTGTTTTTATGTTGGGGCACAGGTTTTTTTTTTTTTTTTACCAAAAAAAAATAGTGTAAAAATGTAATAGGTTCCAACGATGCCAACCTTATTCAAATATGCATGGTCGGAAGGTGTGGAAGCTATAAAGTAGTGTATACGCTTCTTATATTGGTTTTAGTATTATTGATTGTAACTATTTTTTGAAAACTAAACTAAAATAACACACATTATTTCTGTAATAGAACAAAATAAACACTATTTTTAGAATTATAGCAAAATGACCATATTATTTTTGAAACTATTTCTGAAACTATAGCAAAACAACCACAATATTTTGAAACTGAATCAAAATAACCACACTATTTCTAAAACTGAACCAAAATAACCACATTATATCTAAAACTACTGCAAAATAACTCACACTATTTCTGAAATTGAACCAAAATAATTCATAGTATTTATGAAATTACAGAAAAATGACTCACATTATTTATGAAACAGAACCAAAATAACTCATACTATTTCTGAAACTATAACAAAATAACCATACTATTTCTGAAACTGAATCAAAATAACCCACACTATTTCTGGAACTACAGCAAAATAACTCACACTATTTCTGAAACTGAACCTAAATAGCCCACATTATTTCCAAAACTATAACAAAATAGCCCACATTATTTTTGAAAATTAAACCAAACTAATCTACATTATTTCTGGAAGGAAACAAAATAAACATTACTTTTGGAATTACAGCAAAATAACCCACATTATTTTGAAACTAAACCAAAATAACCAATATTATTTCTAAAACTAAACCAAAATAACTCACACTATTTTTGAAGCTGCAACAAAATTACACCTATTTTGAAACTGAACCAAAATAATGAGTTTTAAAACTAGGAGATTTGCAGTCTTATGAGTCAAGATTTTCACTACGTTGTGTTTAGATAAGGATTTTGAAGAGCAATAACAAGTTTTAAATTATTTCTTTTTTCTTCACAACTACTTAACTTATTTCCCTGATAATATCATCTAATTGCATTGATAAGGGAAATACAAAAAGTGACAAAGGGGTGAGGGCACAAATGTGCAAACTCAAATAAAAGATAAAAAAAAATAAAGGTGATTTGGCCCAAAATAAAAAAAAGGTGACTTGACCCACATGAAAAAAGAAAACAAATGTGACAGACAGAGACATGGACATAACCAAACAAATATTTAATGGGAATGCGGCCCCAACAAACTTCACGCGGTTCAAAGCCTAATGGAAAAATTCAGCTTTTTGGTGGAATGGACTGACGGAATGAGACTTCCGTCAGAGGCATTGGCTGGAAAAAAGAAAAATTAGTGTTGCACGTGAGGTTCTTTATTATTTACGAGGTTTTAGTTTTTTTCTTATTATATTGTATTTTGTCCTTTTTATTAAATTTCAGGTTTTTTATATTAAATAAAATTATAAGATAATTTTTGGTTAAAATAAACTTATCTCAATCTCTTTTCATTAAAGCATCCTTATTTCAACAAGGTCGGACTTTCAAGATCAACCACATCACCATATCCACGTAATATTATTTTTATGCAGATGTTAGAAGAAACAGAATTTTGAACACAACGGAAAAAAAGGACCGATGAACCCGCCCGCTATCTGTGGATACCATCACTACGGTTGTCCGGCTGCTGCCAATCTCCCACCAAAACGGTGTGATTCCTGCATTCGGTATATTTCGCCATGAACAAAGAGTATAAACATCAAATGTTACAAAAGGGACCGGCTTCCATTTACAGCAACGCGGATAATACGTCGTTACGGGATCGCATGGTCCGCCATCTTCCCCATGCAATGCACGTTTAGAGTTGTCCATCGATTCCCACGTTTTCAAATTTCCTTTTACATAACAATACGGAAGGCAACATAAACAACCAAAATTGCTATAGGGGGAGGGGGGGGGAGCGCATGAAATGAATATTTCCTTTCAAAGTAGCGCGACTCCGGTTCATCAGGCGATGTGGGGGAGACAATGGACAATTTATGTTCTCTATAGTATATTTACATTCAAATGGGTCTTGCTCTTGGAGAACTGCCGAGCGTTTGGGCTTTAAGTAGCGTTGTTTCCTGCCAGGGATCAAGAGTGTACGACGTCGTTGGACTTAGCTTGTTATACGATGAGTAGTCGCTCAAATTGTAACTACTTTGTCCCATCATGGCATAAGTTGGATGAGGGGGAGAAAGTAAAGAGCTCTTGTGTGTCTGTCCATATTGTCGTAAGGGGCTTGAACAAGGAGATACAGGCAAAGATGTAATCATCCTTATATTCTCGCTGCATATCCAAGATTGATAAAGAGTCATTTAACGTAATAACACGCTCGACAGACTACATCGATGGGGATATGACAGGAAAATATATTTACCTAGGGCTCCGCCAATCTCTTGAAGTTGCGATTGTGGGCTTTGCTGTGTGATCTGCATCACTCAAGGTGAAACTTGTTCTGTTGGAGTGTAGCTCTAATACTGGCTGCTCAAAGAAAGAAACGAAAATGAAATCAGGTTGGGCAAGCGCTTAAGTTTGATACAGACTTGTCGGAAATACTCGTTTAACGATTCAAGACATAACATTGATGATAATATGCGAATAATTCGTTCAACAAATTGCAGTTACGTTTTATTGTAACTTCTCCGAATAGTCTCAAGCACTTTAAGACTATAGGCCAGTAAAGAAACTAAATTCCACACTTCTTTCTATAGGAACAAATTTCCACACTTTCACCTCCTTCACACATTATGCACTTAGTTTTAATGATTTGACCAATATATAACATTATTTATGCTAGAAGGTAGAAACAATTCAAGCAAGCAGAACCTTCTATTAAGCGCATGCGCGCACGCACACACACACCATGTTGCCTGAAAATTGTCCATTGTTTAATAGGTTTTTCTTCTATAGCCGCTTTCTAGCTCCAAAGCAAGTATCAATTCGTAATTTGGCCCACAAACTAAAAGCTTAAAAAAACGCAGTAGAAAGTTATAGGCTTTACCGGCGTCCTGCTTCCGTGAAAAGCATATGGGAAGGCATCCTTGGTTACTTTGATGTTAGAAGATCTTGTTGTTGTTTGCTCCCTAATGAAAGGGTGGTCTAGAAGTCCAGAAGCTGTAGGACGCTCCAATGGGTTCCGTTGCAAACATAGCCTCACAAAACTCTTTGCCTCGTTTGAAAGATGATCAGGAATATGTGGAATATCTTTGCTGTTTCCAATTTTAAAAATTGCAGCCACCTGTTGAATCCGATGTAAGGAAACAAGTTTTGGTGCAACAAACACTTTGTAGCTGATGATAACAAAGAAACTTGTAAGGCATTAGGTTCTGAACAGTATATCGTACCCCTTCATACTGGCTCCAAGGAGGTTTAGAAGTTGCCATTTCAAGAATTGTACATCCTAAGCTCCATATATCCACAGCAAGGCTATAACCGTTCGTATTCATTACAACCTGAAATTAACATTTCATGAACATGAAAATTCCACTACAGTGAACTGGCTACTAACAATACAAAAGAAAAAAGAGGGAAAAAGATGTTGAGAAAGAGAGAGTACCTCTGGGGCCATCCAATAAGGACTTCCCTTGAATGACAGCATTGAAGCACAATTTGTGATCTGATTCAGAAAATAAAATCATCAGATTTCTCAAATTTGATTTAGAAAAATGACTAGGAAAACTAACAATTACATACTATTCTTCGATTTCCTTAGTCAAATGCCACTCTTAGATACTTAAATCTATGTGCTCAAGTTCGTCGAAACGATTTCCCTCTTTATATTGTCTCTAAGAAGCAAGCATTATTGCTTATTGGTAACTCATTAATGTATAAAGCAGCAGATAAGAAATACAATGATGAAACTTATTAACCACGATTCAATGTGCAAATTAGAGAAAATGATAACTCCCGAAATT